AGCAAAAAAATATAACAATCGTAATAAGAAGTAATAAAGAAAAAACATTTTCAATCCGGATACGTTCGGGTAGGTCAGGAAAGCCCGGGAGGCGGTGGGTGTTCCAAGATGGCGGCCCAACCTGAGACACCATCAAAGTGGCGGGCGAGCTATCGAAATGCGAGGCTGAAAATATATCACAAATGTGCTAGTTTCCATCGCTCAGGCAATCAAAAAAACAAACATCAATCAATAACATATATATAAAGCATAATGATGGTCACATAGGTTGCACACACTCTCCTTACGAAAATATACTGCATGTATCGTATTAAACAGAAGTCATACAAAAATTCACTCACTAATTAACCACATCCACCAAACAAACAGGGCAAAACAAATCAAAATTATACAGAAAAAAAACAACGTTCTCACTATGACGATTAACCACAGGAAGCTTAGGGTTTGTTAAAAAATAAATAAATAAATAAATAAATAGGAAAAAAAAACTCCTTGTCAATGTCCAATGGGATGCCATTATAGCCCATTACCATAACACCATGAACGGCTACTTAAAACTACTCCTTTATACCACTACCTTACTCCTCATATCTCAGGAGTAATATCCTTAATAAAACTCCAATCGCGGAGAATCCATTTAAAAAAAAAATCTATAATCATAGTTGCCAAATCGCATACACATATCCCTGGTAACCAAAACCCCCACCTCTCTTCCGCCCGCCCGCCCATCTCACCCACTCCGCCCACTACCTCCACCTTGCCCTCCTTGCCCACCTCGCCTTCTCCCCCCCCCTCCACTTCACCCACTCGGCCCACTTCCCCTTTCTCCGTCCATCTCACCCACTTCACCCACTCGGCCCACCTCGCCCATTCGCCCACCTCGCCCACTTCACCCACTCGCCCTCCTTTCCTTCCCGCCACTTCACCCACTCCGCCCACCTTGCCCACTCCATCCACCTCGCCCCTCTCCCCCACTTCATCCAATCCTCCCACCTTGCCCACCGCGTCTCCCCCCCCCGCCCCACTTTACCCACACCCGCCCATCTCGCCCTTCTCCGCCCTCCTCGCCCTCCGCCCACCTCGCCCACCCACCGCTGGCCCCGAACTGCCCTCCGAACCCGACTGTGCAGCTTGGGCCTCAAAGCCGGTCAAAGCTGTGGTCATGTCAATCTTTTATATCTATTCATCTATCTTTTTCTGATGCTGTTTTTGTGCGTTTACCATGCTGTCTTTAAGTCGGAAATTATATAAGCATTAAAGGAGAGGGGGGGGGGGGAAGAAAGAGAGAGGGAGGGACAGAGAGGAAGAGAGAGAGAGAGAGAGAGAGAGAGAGAGAGAGAGAGAGAGAGAGAGAGAGAGAGGAGAGAGAGAGAGAGAGAGAGAGAGAGAGAGAGAGAGAGAGAGAGAGAGAGAGAGAGAGAGAAGAGAGAGAGAGAGAGAGAGAGAGAGAGAGAGAGAGAGAGAGAGAGAGAGAGAGAGAGAGAGAGAGAGAGAGAGACCGAGACCGAGAGAGAGAAAAGAGAGAGATACCGAGACAAACAGACAGAGACAGAGAAAGACAAACCAGACAGACAGACAGACAGAGTACCAGAAACCGAGACACAGAAAGAGAAAAAGAGAGAGAGATAGCACAGAAAACGCAGACACAGCGAGAGGTGTCACAACGAGGCCGCAACCACCACCAAGAAGAAGATTAATTAAATTCAAGATTACACGAATTAAGGCCCGCATCTTCTTGAACTGACACTTAATCCTGGCGTTATATTGCTGCTGCCATAAACAATCCACTTCCAAAACAGGGAAGAGAGATAAGGATGATAAAAATAGAAGAAGAGAAGAAAAAAAAAACAGGAAGAGGAATGACAATTGTAAGAATATCAATTAGTAACAGCTACAAGAACAACATTAATGATAATAATAAAATATGTTATCAGGGGTGGGATACCATGGCTTACTATCATTTTATCATCATCGCAGTTTTCATTGCATAAATAATTGCGAAGATGACACGGGAAAGAAAGGAGAAAGGGAGTGGAGAGGGAGAGGGAGAGGGAAGAGGGAGAGGGAGAGGGAGAGGGAGAGAAGAGAGGAGAGAGAGAGAGAGAAGAGAGAGAGAGAGAGAGAGAGAGAGAGGAGGAGGAGGAGAGAGGAGGAGGAGGAGGGAGGGAGAGGAGGAGGAGGAGAGGAGAGAGGGAGAGGAGGAGGAGAGCAGAGAGGAGAGAGGAGAGAGGAGGAGGAGGAGGAGGAGAGGAGAAGGAGGAGGAGAGGAGGAGAGAAGGGAGAAGGAGAAGGAGAAGGAGAGGAGAGGGGAGAGGGAGGAGGAGAAGGAAGAGGGAGAAGGGAGAAGAGAGGGAGAGAAGGAGACAGAGAGAGGCAAGGGGACTGGAGAGGGAGAGAATGAGAAAGAAAGGAGTAGGAGAGGTGGGTTAGGAAGGCCGAGAAGGAGGTGCGCTGGTGGAGCCTGAGGTGGAACGAGGTGAAGGTGGAGATGGGGGGGGGGCGTGTGGTGTCTCAGGTGACTATTTACACCGCTGGCATGTTAGGTCAGGCCTGTCTGCTGTTACAAGACTCAGGTGTCTCTCCTTTCCTTTATCTTTCTCTTTCTCTCTCTCTCTCTCCCCTCTCTTCTTTCCCTACTTACTACTACTACTATAAATACCAATAACAATATAACAATAAATATAATAATAACAATAATAATAATACGATCATTGAATCAAAAACAACAACAAAGCAACATTCTCACTACTACTACTACCCCTATCACCAATCCTACTACTACTGCTGCTGCTGCTGATGATGATGATGATGACAACAAAAAATCAAACAAAAGGAAAAACACAACGAACAAAAACAATAACAATAAAAAAACACCTTCACTACAAACCGACCTTCCAGACTCCCAAGTCATTTAACCAAAGGCCTTATCCGCACAGTCCGCCATCTGACCACAGGCCTTATTCGCACAGTCCGCCATTTACCTGCAAAAGAAGACAAGAAGGCCGTTAACTTGAGCAACGTTCAGATTTACGAGGTTTAATGTTCAGGTTCTAAGTGTTGGGGGTAAAAAATATACATATATCACTGGGTAATAACAATAATAATGAAGCAGATAATGTATTACCGTTAATGAATAGAGCAAGGTGAAAATGTGTGTAAAATCTAGTAAAATGACAACATGATTATTCTTAAATAAATACGTAATCATTTTAATGACTGACAATAAAAACAAGTGTTAACAATATTTGGTGATGAACATGATAATGATGATCACACTGATAATCATAATAATCCTAGTAATATTAATACTCTAGTGATAATAAAAAAATATATAATCCAAACAACACCAAAACAATAATAAGAATAATGACGATGATGATAATCAGAGATAATGAGAATCTCCATGTCTGGTTCTTCACCTGCCTAGAATACCTACAGCAAATATTAGTGCTTGTGTTGTGTCGTCCACCCCCCCCCACCCCCTCTATCCCTCCCCAACCCTTCCCTTACCCCAAACCCATCCCATCCCCACCTCACTGGCCTCCCACTACCCTTCTCTTCCCCTTTTCCCTCTCGTGCACCCTTCCCTTCCCTTCCCTTCCCTTCCTATCCTACCCTTGCCTTCCTTCCCCTCTCCCTCTCCTCTCCTCTCCTCTCCTCTCCTCTCCTCCTCTCCTGTCATGCCCTCTCCTCCCTCTCCTCCCTCACCAGGCTCGAAGCCAAATCGCCAAACAAACCGCTACACAAACATCTTTTTTTACACTTTCGACGACCCACGTCCCAAAAGTCCCCACCTCTCATAAAACTATTCTTCCAAAGGTATCCCCGGCGGAAAAGGCAAGAACACAAAAGTGGCGAAGAAGAACAAGAACAAGAAGGAGGAGGAGGAGGAGGAGGAGGAGGAGGAGGAGGAGAGAAGAAGAAGAAGAAGAAAAAGAAAAAGAAGAAGAAAAAAGAAAAAGATAAGAGGAAGGAAAAGACGAAGAAGGAAAGAAAAAGAAGAAAAAGGAAAAGAAAAAAGAGAAAAAAAAGGCCGCCACGACACTTCCCACTCGCCACCTTGCTTATCAACACCGGACAACATGATTAATTCCACCGGAGGATCATTCTCATTGAACAGGTCGACTGGTCAGGTGAGAGGCTGTGAGAGGAGGCCCGCGATGGGGGGCTTAGAGAGGGGAGAGGGAGAGAGAGAAGTGAGGAGAGAAGGGGATAGGGACGGAGAGGGGACAGAGAGGGGACAGAGAGGGAGGAGAGGGACAGAGGAAGAGGGGATAGAGAAGGGACGGAGAGGGAGGGGATAGAGAGGGGAGAGGAGAAGGGATAGGAGAGGGGAACAGAGAGGGGCAGAGAGGGAGAGACGGAGAGGGGAAGGAGAAGGGAATAGAGAGGGACGGAGGGGGACATAGAGGGGATAGAGAAGGGACAGAGAGGGGAAGGAGAAGGGATAGAGGGGACGGAGAGGGACAGAAAGGGGATAGAGAATGGCAGAGAGGGGAAGGAGAAGGGATAAAGAGGGGACGGAGAGGGAACACAGAGGGGATAGAGAATGGGCAGGAGAAGAGAAAGAGGAAGGAGAAGGATAGAAGAGGAAGGAGAGGGTATAGAGAAGGGACAGAGAGTGGAATTGGTGAGGGCTGGGAAAGAGGAAGGGAGTGGGCGAATGGATACTTACGAGAGTTAGTAGAGAGGGGAGTAGAACAGAGGGGAGAGGGAAAAGAGACAGAGAGGGAGTGGAAAGAGTTAGTAGAGTGGGGAGAGGAGTGGGACAGAAGAGAGAGACAGTGGAGTGGAAGGAGGAGAGGGGAGGGAAGGAGAGGAGAGAATCGGTAAGTAAGAAGGGCAAAACAAAGAGAGGGGAGAGGGGACCAAGAAAGAAAACCGCTAGAGATACGAGAAAGAGGAGAGAGGAGAGGGAAAGCGAGTGAGTGGAGGAGAGAAAAGGGAGGTGAGGTGGTGGTGGTGGTGGGGGGGGGGTCGTAAGGGGGTAGGGGGTAAGGGGAGGCGGGTAAGGAGTGCAAGCGACTGTTGCCTGGCTAGCAAATGATAATGGCGATGCAGTGGCCGCGCGACTGATCGAGTAAACAAACCCACCTCATATCTCTTCTCCTCCTCCTCCATCCATCCACCACCCGCACACCCACCCCGGGCCCACTCCCCACCCCCCCCCCTAAACCCTTCCCCATCCACTACTCTTCCCCCTCCTCCTCCCTATCTCTTCCTCTCCCCTCCCCCTCTCTTCCCCATCCCTCACCTCCCTCCCCTCCCCCTCTCTTTCCCCATCCCCTCTAACCTCCTCCCTCCCATCCCTCTCCTCCCGCCATCCCTCCCTCCCTCCCTCCCTCTTCCCCATCCCCACCTCCCCCTCCCCCCTCTCCCATCCCTCCCTCCCCTCCCCCTCCCCCTTCTCTCTTCCCACCCCTCAACCTCCTCCCCCTCCCCCCCTCCCTCCCCTCCTCCCTCCTCCCCTCCCCCCCCCAGGCTGATCCGGAGTCGCATACCCGGGCAAGGCGTACTACACAGCCAAGGTCAGGTCTGCCTGCTCAAGCACAGCAGACACGGAGGGCGGGCGGGATGGTGCAAGAAGGCGCAAGCAACCAAGCACACACACGCACACACACGCTGTTGTTATATATATTCTTTTGATTCTCTTCTTGACCTTTCTTACGGAACAACTGTTTTTTCTTCTTTTCTTTCTTCTTTACACCCTTTTCTCTCTTTCTTTTCGGTCACTCAGATTCTCTACAACGGCAAATTTATTCATAAAATGCCGTTACCACCAGGTTTAAAACCCTCACATCGAGCCTTTTTTAGAGAGAGAGAAAAAAATGGCTTCCGACCATTCCTTGCAACACCGTATTTAGGAAGAGCGCCATTTTAAACTTGATTTTGGTACTTGCTGCAGAATGAAGTACTTGGTGCAACATGGCAATCAACAATTAACTCCAAATGTGCAATGTGTTACCGTGTGTGTGTGTGTGTGTGGTGTGTGTGTGTGTGTGTGTGTGTGTGTGTGTGTGTGTGTAAAAGTATGAATTAAATAAATATATAATATATAATACGAAACATATTAACACACAAGTGTCTGTATAATGTACATATGTATGCATATATAAATATATACATACACACACACACACACACACACACACACACACACACACACACAATATACACATACACATACTACATATATCTATCAATTCATCACATATATCTATATATATATATATATATATATATATATATACATACACACATATCTATCCACATATACAACGATGATTGATCAGCTGACTGACGCCCGCTGACCGCAAGCAAAAACAAGGCTGCACTTAACGCGAGAAAAAAAAAGCGCGAAAAATCTTAATCATGCGCAAACACCAAAGGCCAAATGAACATGAATGCCAATGAACAAACAGAATTGTGCAGATCAGCATCAGACAGGAGGAGGAGGAGGAGGAGGAGGGAGGAGGAGAAGGAGGCAGATGTGGTGAAGGAGGAGGAGGAAGGAGGAGGAAGAGGGAGGAGGAGGAGGAGGAGGAGGTGGATGGGTGGAGGAGGAGTTGGAGTGAGGAGGGAGGAGGAGGAGGAGGAGGAGGAGGAGGAGGAAGGAGAGAGGAGGTGGATGTGGTGGTGGTGGAGGAGGAGGAAGGTGATGGTGGTGGGTGGGAGGTGGTGGAAGGTGGAGGAGGAGGAGGAGGTGATGGTGGTGGAGAGAGGAAGAGAAGAGAGGGGATGTGGTGGAAGAAGAAGGAGGAGGAGGAGGAGAAGGAAGAGGAGAAGGAGGAGGAGGTGGAAGAAGAGAAAAGAAGAAGAAGGTTGGAGAAGAAGAGGAAGAGGAAGAAAAAGAAAAAGAAAAAGAAAAAGAAAAAAGAAAAAGAAAAAGAAAAAGAGAGAAAAGGAGGAGGAAGGAAGAAGAGGAGAAGAAGAAGAACAAGAAGAAGAAGAGAAGAGGAGGAGTACTTGGAAGAAGTCCAAAGAGCGAGACCCAAAGGGCGCGCGTCCTGCGATTTCGTAATGTCTTCACGAATCCGACGCGTTCGCTCGCCCGCGCCTTCCGCGAGCGCCGCGCGAATCTCGAAATCTCTCGCATGCGCTTAAAAAAAAATGAATAAATGAATGAATGAATGAATGAAATGAATAAATAAATAATATAAATAAATAAAAAAATAAAAAAAAAATAAAAAATAAAAAAAAAAAACATATAAAACAAATCTCCGGACGGCATCAGGACCATGCTCATAATCCTCCCGACCGCGCTAATTGGGAGTTAAAAAATCCTCCCCCCCCCCCACCCCACCACCCCCCCACGCTCCTCGCCACGCCACGATGTAGGTATCCAGGCCATGGCGGCGGCGGCGGCGGCGGGGCGCGCACCTGCACTCCATCTTGAACTTTTTTTGAACATTTTCTCGTCTCTTCCCGCGCATCTCTGGTCCCGCGGCGCCACCTGGTGATGCACTCGTGAGCAACGGGGTAATTTTGCAACTTTCCACCGTGTTCACTGCGCGGAGAAAGCCGGCGGGCGCGGCGTGTGCAAATGAGGAGGCGCATTCGGGACTAAATGCATATTCTGCGCGGGTGTCGGATGAGTTCGCTTCCTTCTGGATATTCCTTCCCTCTCGGCCATTCTCATTTTTTTTTCTCCTATTGCTTCTCTCTTAATTCTTGCCTCTACTTTCCTATCTCCGCCATTTCTATTGTTTCCTCTCTCTTTCTCTTTCTTTTTTTTACTCTCTCTCTGTTCTCCTTCTCTTCCTCTCCTCTCCTCTCCTCACCCTCCTACCTTTCTCTCCCAGTCTCTCCTCTTCTCCCTCTTTCCCTTCACTCTCCTTCTCTCTCCCTCACCCTCTACCTTTCTCTCCCACTCTCTTCCTCTCTCCCTCTCTTTCCTCTCTCTCTCTCTTCTCTCTTTCTCTCCACTCTCTTTCCCTCTTCTCCTTCCCTCTCTCTCCTCTCTCTCCCTTACTCTCTCCCTCTTCCCCTCCTTCCCTATCTCTCTCCTTCCTCCTTCTCTCTCCTTCTCTCCCTGTCCCT